TGAGGAGATTAACCCCTGGAAACTGTTTAGCTACTCATACTAGTTGATGCTACAACTACTACTTCAACAGACATCATAGAAGTATGCATCAATGAAAAAAAATACAAGCTAACAATTCAAGAGAAGAAGACAGCTTATGCAGTTCAGAGGTCACTCCTGGGAGTGACAGGATCCACTCAGGAGACTGAAGCAGTGACTGAGATGGCTGTTCTTCAACTTGACTTCCTTACTGCGTTGTTGCTGTTCTTCCTTCCTTGTTGCCTTTTTTCTGGAGTTTTTCTCTGTGTTCTTGGCAACTGAAAAGTGTAGCCAGAGATGTTTTTCTCTGTGAATGCGTCTCCCTTTTTTATACTGCTAGATGCCGGTTCCACTTTCAAGACCACCTCCCCATGCCTATGTATTCTTTATTCACCCAATGTCTTGTATCTTGGACTGGTCTTTTGCTCTCCTTCCAGATGTGGTATCAGCCGTGGCATTGATCAGTTTGGGAGGTTGGTTTTTCGGCCAAGGGGACAAGCATGCCCTTGGGTTCTCAAGGAGAGACAACCTCATTAATTGCGTCTAGAAGATGTCCTTGACCATCTCAGCAGAATTTGAATTTAGTAGCTCGTTTTTTGTCCCAACAACCCTCCTTTTTCAGGATTTCTTCACTCAGGTCCCTTCCTATGCAAAACATGAAAACTAGTTAAGTAACATGGACTTATTCAAAGAATCGCCCCTAATTTTTCATTAAATTCAGAGTAAATGATAATGTTTTTGTGTAACAAATTAACCACTATCAACTTCAATGAGATCCTGAACCATAATGAATGTTCGAACCAAAGAACTCGGCCTGATTGGCAAATATCAAGTTTTCGAGATGCATTAGATTTCTGTGAATTGGATGAACTAACATTCGAAGACAGTTTATACACTTGGTTCAGGAATACGAAACACCCTGACACAGTGAAAGCACGATTGGATCGAGCATGTGTAAATAACAAGTGAAATCAACCTTCCCATATTCGAAAGTGCATCATCTGTTCATCCATTTATCTGATCATATTCCCATACTCGTGAAACTCCAACAATGCAAGAGAAGCCATCACAGGATGGGAATGGCAAAAAGGTTCCGTTTTGAATCATGTTGGATCAGACGTACTGATATTGAAACTGCTGTACAAGAATCATGGGATGGAGGTGACAAAGACTTGCTGGAAAAAATCAACAAAGCTCCATTGGTTTAGTAAACTGGAATAAGCTCTATCCCAAAGCCGGCCGGAAAGAAATAGAGAAATTGAGGGCAGATATACAGAGAATTCAAATGGGAGTTTTAGACGATGCTAGTTACGAAGCACTGAATGAGAAAAAGCTAGAAATAGGGAGGCTCTTAACACAGGAAGATGATAAATGGAAACAAAGAGCAAAACTACACTGGCATTTAAATGGTGACCGTAACACAAAGTACTTTCACAATCATGCTTCCAAAAGGAAAGAAATAAATGAGATAAAAGGCCTGGAAAATAGCCAAGGAGTTTGGTGCTTAGAGAAAAATGAACTGGAAACTATAATCGTGGATTACTTTGGTGCCCTGTTCGCTGCCTCGACGATCCCGGTATCTGATCTTAATTTTGTGCTTTCTCTCATACAACCAAAGGTTTCGAGTGAATATAATAGGAAGTTGGAGCAACCTTATACTGCAGATGAGGTAAAAAAACTTCTCTTTCAAATGCATCCAACAAAATCCCCCTGTCCAGATGGTATGCCCCTTTTTTTTTTCCAGAAATTCTGGCCTATGGTTTGTGAAGATATCACACGCTATGAACTTTTTAAATCATGGCTACTTTGATCCAAAAATAAATTCAAAACACATATAGTTTTAATACCAAAAATAAAATCCCCAAAACTCATTTCTCAATTTAGACCCATATCATTGTGTAACGTTATTTATAAAATTATTTCAAAAACTCTTTCTAATTGAATAAAAAATATTCTACCTTTTGTAATATCCCCTCCCCATCTGCTTTTGTTCCAGGACGTTTTATCACTGATAATGCTCAGGGAACGTTGGTCTCATGTCCATTAAATTGGATATGAGTAAATCCTTCGATAGAGTTGAATGGAAATTTGTTTTACAAGTAATGAAATCCCTAGGCTTCTCTCATCTTTTCATAAATCTGATCGAAAAATGCCTTATCTCTACCTCTTTTACTTTCCTGCTTAACAGTCAAGAGTTTGGTTCACTAACCCCTCAACGTGGTAAAAGACAAGGAGACCCGTTATCTATTATCTTTTTATCATATGTGCCGAGGTTTTTTCTTTATTGATACAGGAAGCACAGAGAGTAGGCAATCATCAAGGAATCCAAGTGTCGCCAATTGCACCAAAAATCACGCATTTATTCTTCGCCGACGACACTTTGCTATGTGGAAATGCAACTGTTTTGGAATCCGAGGCTTTCTCAAGCATCATTCATCTCTATGAACTAGTCTCAAGGCAGCAAATAAACTATGATAAATCAGCAGTCGTCTTCAGTAAAAATGTCTCGGCTGATTTTGCAGTCTCTCTGTCTAACCGTCTTGGGGTGAAGCGGGTCGATTCAATGGAAAGTATCTGGGATTACTGTCAATCATAGGCCGGCGAAAAAAGGAAATTTTCGGAGATATTAAAGACAAAATCAGGTCACGAATAGGTTACTCAGAAAAATTCCTATCACAAGCAGGAAAAGAAATTTTGATAAAGTAGGTAGCCCAGGCAATCCCCACATATGCAATGAGCTGTTTTGAGCTCCCTGAAGGCCTTTGCGATGAAATTCACTCAATCTTAGCCAATTTTCGGTGGGGAGAATTGAAATATAAAAAGAAAATACATTGGAAGTCATGGGATTCTCTTTGCAAACCAAAGTCTGAGGGTGGATTGGGCTTCACAAATCTCAGACTCTTCTACCTCGCTTTACTGGGAAAACAAGCTTGGCGGCTACTCACAAACCAGCAGTCGTTGTTATTCCAAACTCTCAAAGCCCGATATTTTCCTGATACAGATTTCTAAGTGCCAAACTTGGTCCAAGGCCCTCATTCAGCTGGAGATCAATAATCAAAGGGAGGAAGTGCTATTAACAGGCTGTCGCAGAAGAATTAGATCTGGTAAAAATACTGAAATCTGGGGTGATCCATGGATTCCCAAGCCACACAGCTTTAAAGTCCTGAGTCCGGCAAATCCCTTTGCCGGTAAGACAACTGTTGATGGCTTAATCGACGCATCCTCTGGAACTTGGAAACATGAGCTCCTCAAACACAATCAACATCAAATACATCTGGAAGCTCGACAGTATGGAAATGACTCTGGAGCATCAACATCGCGCCAAAAAGAAAGCATCATCTTTGACGAGCCCTCAATGATTCTTTGGCCACTCAAAACATGGTTGCCCATCATGCGGAGAACCTGAAGATCTCAAACATGTTCTCTTCAGCTGCAATTTTTCGAAGGCAGTATGGCGACTAGCTAATCTCGATACTTGTGTATATGAGAAGAACCATGCTGTAGCCAGAATGCAGGTGGCAGACCTCCTTACATCACTATCATCACAGCAACAAAGGCTTTTTGCGGTGGTTTGCTACGACCTTTGGTATGCAAGAAATAAACAGATTTTTGAAAAAAGTACTTTTACACCAGAATCAGTACTACATTCCAGTCTGTCATGGCTTACATCACGGAACGAAGCACAGCTACGCAACTTCATGCGGCCCCCCTTGCGTGAAACTCCATTGAATTCTCTTGAGTTTATGGTTGGTATATGTATCTTCTTCGATGGTGCAATTAATGCCACAAAGAAACTCTCCGCAACAGGAGTATTAATTTGGGACTGCAGCTCCGGATTCTCTGGTTGTATGCGCGAACCTTCAATGGTTTAGACATCGCGCCTGTTATCAAATCCTTAGCAGCAAGAGAAACAGTGAGAATGGCTGTTGCAATGGGTTTAGCTCGCTTCACTCTGATCGGGGATTCATCAACAATCATCCGCCGACTGAATTCTGAGGACTCTGATTTATCAGATGCAAGTTTTATAGTGGAAGATCTGAAAGCTGGTTTTAAAGACCATGCTGATTTCTGTTGCAAATGGATCAACCACCGCTTCAATGTATTTGCCCATGGCTTAACCCGATTTGCAAAAAATCACAGAAACTTCGAGAAATTTCGGGACACAATCCTTGATTTTGTACCTCATTCCGTGTTGGGCGGTTTTCCAGCAACTTAATGAATTTATTTCTTCAAAAAAAAAAAATTACTCCATCCGTTCGGAAAAAATAGTCATCATCGTCATATTCACAAATCAAAAATGTAGATTATTTTTGGGACACATTGAGTGTTATAAGATATAAAAAGGTTAAGTGAAACCATAAACATGAATGATTTGTACCTCTAAACTAGGAAGTGTCACTAGTAAAAATATGCCCATCTCGTATTCAAAAACTAATAGTTCCCTCCCTCTCCCTAGTTACAATCACAAGTGACAAGACCGAGAAATTAGATCTATGTAAGAGAAAATGAATAATGCATTTTTTAAAATCCATTGTACTTAATTAATGTAACATACAAGAAGAACACATGTCAGTTTCACGTTGAAAATTTTCCCGCCAAAGTTCTTTTTCAGTACAAAATGAAAATTGACACGTCGCACTCTAACTATTCAGAAAAAAAAAAGATAAAATTGTAAAAAAATCAATTCTAATTTTCAGCAATAGCCAAAAAAAATCCAAATTACTCCCAAAATTTCGGATTTGCTTCTTTCACGGCACAAATTTTCCACGTTCATAATCTCCTTATAATAGTTAGTAAAATCAAATTTCAAAAAGATTTTGTTATTATCCTTCTGCCTCTCTCTCAATCCGGATGAATTTGTAACTGATCCAATTTGAAAAAATTTAGTCTCAAACATCAAATGCATCAAGATGATTCTACATAAATTCAAAAAGACCCCATCGCATAATGAATTTGGTGAATCCCATGGATGAACACCATCGATGAGAGATTTCGAAAATTTGGAGGAGGTGGAATTTTTCTCTAATCAAATTCACACACAACCGCACAATTACTGGTAAGTTAATCTCTCAATTCTCTTTAATACAATCAAAAGCAATTTTGCTCCCCACTCAATTTCTCAATAATGAAGAAAACAGTCATGCCCACTCAGTTTCGATTCCTCCGATGGACCCTTCCTTTTTATCCCAGGATATGAGTCTTCCCGGTTTAGACGGGAACAACTTCGATCCCTTTGGCAACGATAAGGGTGACATCGTGTTGGAAGACTTTGATTTTGACTTGGACTTCAATTTGGAAGATATCTTGCCGGCTCTGGTTGAGCAGCCTCTGCCTGACCCGGCTCAATTCGACGACGACTGTTTTCTTTTGAATGGATCCAACCCGAATTTGGCCCAGTTCCAGCTGGATCGCAGCTTGGGTAATGTTTCCAGGTCTTTTAAGAAGACGTCGGCTAAGTTCCCTCATAATCTCTGCGGTGATGGGGTGATGACGGATTCATCGTTGCCGTCGTCAGAACCCGAGGTTTGTCAGTTGTCTGGTGAGAGGAGCCCGGAGATGAATAAGATTTTCAGTGATCGGGGACAAGATGTTTCTGCATACCTGAATGTATCTTCACCGGAGTCAAATGGGTCAAAAGGGTCAAATGATATGAAGGTTTTGAGTTGCCCTTCCCCGGAGTCTCAGGGTTCAGGCAATTGTCATTCCAATGTGTCTGAGGACTCGAATAAATCGGTGAGTTCTTCCCCTAATTTTTCTTTGAAGACTGGAGTTGCTAATTCTGAGATTAAGGTAGAAGGGTCGAACAATATTACTTTTTTTACTTTTGTTCATGAGCCTGCCCCCATTTCATTCTGTTTGAATTATTGTGTATTATTCAGACTACAGAAACAGAAAGAAGAATAGAGTGAGAAACGAAAGCTGAGAAGCATATTCAGAAACTTCTTTTACTCGGTACATGAGTTGTGATCTTATCTACCTCACTGAGTTGCATTGTTGTTTCCAGATGTATACTTTTGAATATTTGTACATTTGTTGGTTATCTTTCCTTTGTAATCAGATAGAACATTTGAATCTAAAAGGGAAAGAAAAAAGAGTTCAGTACGTAATTTTAATGCCTAAGAAACATTAGGAGCATTAATAGTGTTTGTGATATATAACCCTTCTTATTGTGTGTACTTTATTGGAGTTCTTTTATATTTTAGAAGCTGTTATTGATATTAAAATCATTTTTCATGGTTAATCCCTTTTGTTATTGAATTCTCTTGCGCGTACTGTATTGGAGTTGAAAACCTTGATTTTCTGAGGAAGAAATTGATGTATAAAGCTGCATGAATTCTTCATAGAGACATAGATAATTGATGTATGTGTAATTTTGCTTTACGCAATGTGGAGTTTAAGGGTTCTATCATAATGCAGCTACCTTTGCTCCTGTAATATGTTTATTATCAGCATGCAAGAATAAGTTGATTGTGGACAAGGACAACTCAAAGCTTAGTTATGAATAGTACAAAATGCAAGGATAACAAGGACTGAATGGTAAGGTAAGAAAAAGAAAGTTCAACTATGAATGATAACGATCCATTTTTTTTTGCGTGCATAAATTGCGTATGCATATAACCTATGCTTGCAAGGAGTTTTGCATCTACCAGAGAAGCCTCTATTGTAGAGTATGGCCTATGGTCATCTCTATTTTGTAAGATTGATATCAATGATGAGTAAATGGAGGAGGAATCAAGGTAATTTTATTAATGGCTAGGCATCATGTTTGTTAGCTTCCTGCTTATACATTTCAGGTGGGTATTACATGATTTTCTTTTTAATTTTTGCTTCAAATTGAATATGGAAGTAATTATAGGCATAGAAAAGATGCATTCTTTGACTAATTGACGATTGTTACAAAATCAAGGTAGTTCTTCTCGCATATTTATGGATGGGTTAGATTTGTATTTCATTTGATTTTGAAATGTTGGAACTTGAATTAGTGAGATGAATCGTAGCATGTGTGTTTTGTATTTTTGGTATGTAAATTTGGTTACGCCAAAAGGCAAATAAACATTCACACTGCCTTTGTTTTGGTTATGTTGAGAGTCGAAACCTAAACATGTAGCTGTTTGATTGAATTTGCTATTTATTATTCATTTGATTTTGTTTTGAGTTAAGGAAAATCTTTCTGGATGCGTACAGAAAGTGTTACTACAATAGATTCCTGAAATATTTACAACTATTCGAGCTCTAAAATCCAATAGGTTGTTTATCTGAATATATTTCTGCTATTCATTTGACTTGGATGAGGTGGTTTTTCTCTAAGCCTGTGTTGTAACTCAATACTAAGATATCTCATATAATCAAATCAGTAGTGATATCTGTTGCTTCTTATAAGGCGCCACATTGTAAGTGATGTAAAGATGTGCATACTGTTTTTGTAAGCTTTATTTGACTATTTGTTTGAAAAGCTCCTGTTAAGCTCTGTTATTTAGTTGCGAGGGTGAGTTTTGGCACTAGCTCTACAATTTTTGTTGCTGTTTTGATACGTCTCTGCATTAGATACTTGCATAGGAGTAGTAATCCAGGATAGTTGATTTTGTTGCTTGAGGGTTGAGGTGCATAAAAAGTGTTCGATGTTGGATAAGAATTCGAGGTAAGTATTAACAAACCCTTGAATTGATCTTATTATATTAGTTCAGTCTGCTGAGCTTTTGGCATATAACATTGTGCTGATTTTGTAGACACAGGCGTCCATTTTCAACTACAAAAAAGACAAATTCATTTTTTATTTGTTTATTGATCACTTTGTCAATGATCAATTATAATACGGGCTGTTGTATATTCTGCAGGAGAAGTATATGCAAGAATCATGACGATTCTTTTACTCCCAAATAATATAGTGAAAGAGACGGCCAAGAAGTTTACATCTATTTTGGCAAACATACCGGCTGAATAAATAAGGGCGGATGGCTACAGGTAATTTAATTAGAGCATGTAAACCCTTATTATGCTACTGTTTTTGTGATCGTAGTATAGAGTCTTTGTCTTCCTTTTCCTTTCACCCTTTGTAATTTCATGTTTTGAAGATCAAAGGATAATATATGTATATTGCTATTTAATTTGCTCACATCACTCTTAGAGCATTTAGTACTACTCCCAATTATCAATGGAACATTCCAAATTTTGCTGTCTTAATTATCAATGTATGGATGTATGCCTAACTTTTTCCTTAGATTATGATTATTTTTATCATTTTATGTATGTCTTTTCTTTTTGCAAAACAGGACTGGGGGCTCTGGCATTTGAAGAAGTCGAGCTGCCCCTGACCCATTTACTAAGCTTCACTGGATCGAGAAAAGCATGAGCTGTTATGAGATAGAATGCCATCACGAACCGCCAATAATAATCTCTATTGTTTTAGGATGTATATATTGTTATATGTACCTTATATATTATACCAAAAGATTTTATTCATTTTTGTGATTTTTGTTTTTTGTCATTTATCAACTTTAAAACACCTCCATACGAATAATTATATTAACACATTTTAATACAAATATAAAATCAAAGAGATCGTCCGCGCATTCGCCCGGGCCAAGCATCTAGTCTTAAATATGTGGCACAAAGTGCATGATGTGTTTATTTAGTAGTAAAGCCACCCTCGCTCTCAAGAGGAGGTCATGAGTTCAAATTCCCACTCCAACAAGAGTGAGGGAGTAGTCTTGCCCTTTGCATCTCTAGAGGGCTTGTTATGGCAAACCCACTCATGAATCCCCAATTTCAAACCCAAGCTTATCATCCCGGACCTGTCTAGGGTGGTCTACCTCCCACTATGATTTGCAGGCTATTGCTATGGCAAACCCACTCATGAACTCCTGATTTCGGATCCGAGCTTGTCACCCCGGGCCTGCCTAGGGTGGTTTATCTCCCACTGTGGTTTGTAGGCTATTGTAGTGGGCATGGTTTTACCCATCTCTGGTGGGGTTCCCGGCGTTACCAAAAAAAAAATAAAAATAAATATGCGGCACAAATTTGAAATAAATTAAAATTGAAAATGTACTACTAAAACAGTAACATAATAAAACATTTTCCCGCCTAAAAAGTTACATGTCAACACATAGTTAAAAGTTTTTCCCCCAAATGTATTAGTGATGGCGCAAGGAATAAACTAAATAAATTAGATTAGGGTTTCATTATTAGGGTATTTTAGTAATTTTATTTTAGTTGATTAGGATTTATTTTTATGTCTTTCTTTTCTATAAGCTAATATAAAAGCCACGCTTGGCCAATTAGTTTCTTGCAATCCGATTGGTTCCACGGTCGTCATGTGACATCACCTTTACATCACTTTTATAGTTAAGGATAACAATGTAAAAAACTAATTAGCATTTTTTCCGTTTTCTTTTTATGCAAAAACCCCCTATTGCCAAAACGACGTCGTTTTTAAGTGTTTTCCTTTTTTATTTTTTTATTTTTTGCCTTCTCCTTTTCCCGGAAAAATACAAATAGAGCTTTTTCTTCTTTTTTTTTTTTCCTTTTTTTCCAGCTTTTTTCTCCCGGGAATAAAAGCATCGAGAGATTACCTCCCTCCCTCCATATACGAAGGATGCAACTGCTTCCTACATTTTCTTCGTGTTCTTGCATCGCGAAGAAGCATCAATTCCTAAATCGTCGTTGAGATATTGGCCGTAAGTTTCATCCTTAAACCCTAATTTTAGTCATATTCTACAACAATTGAGCAGTGTTCAGTGCTCTGATCCAAGGTACGTGTGTTTAAATTTCTGTTTTTTGTGAAAGAAGTTAGTTCCCTTCCACTAACTATTTCAAAAGTTCCATATATGGCATTCGAGTGGTGCTCTTCATTATATATCACCAGAATGTGAAAAAGGGTGATTATGTGTGGTTTTTTTAAGGTTACTGTATCACATGCTAATGCCGTGGTAGTGGTTTGATTTTAAAGATGACACAGAGTTCAAGAAGAACCCCACGCTCCTTAGCAGCAAATTGTTCCGAATTCTTTTAATTCTAAACAAAACGCCCCTGAGGTCAGTGTCTTGGGTGGTTCAGCTACAAATATGGGTAAGGTTTTTTACTTTGTTTAATTATAGGAAGGAAGTTTATGAAAATGCGAGCTTTTGAAAGTGTTAGCGACGTTAAGGTTGAGGACTCGAGTATTGAGGTTGAGGTTGAGTTTTGGGAGATGGGAAGGATCAGAAGTGGAATGAGATCAGTAGTGGTGTTGTTTATGACGAGAGTCCCGTGAAGTAGATTATATGATGGTAGAGCTGGATTATCGGCCTTCAACTTCATTAGTGTTAACCAATGGAAATTTGAAGGGGGATGAGAGTCCAGAAAAGTTGCTGGAGTCCTTGAATTTGGATGGGGATTACCATTCTAAGGATCCAAGAGTATACAAGGAATTATGGCATTTTGCTAAGAGGAGTAACAGTAAACTGAGGGCTTTGCAATTTGAGATTCAGGCGAAAGAAAAAGAGCTGGAGATACAGAAATTATCGCGACCCCAAAAGAAAGAAGAAGCGGTTAAGGAGGTAACTTTTTAGAATAGAGATTTACTAACTTCTTTGATTGTATATATTGTAATGTTTGTATATGTGTTTGATTGTATCAAATTTAGGAAGTGACATCTGAGGTATTTAAGCCTCTTACTGAGGAGGAAGAGGGTGAGGTTGCCTATGCGCTTTCTAATTCCAATCGGTATGGTTTATTCCCAGGAGAAGAAAAACCACATACAAAAAAGGCAACATTCATGCTTCTCTCAATACCACAAAAATTCATGCTATTCTTAACAATACAAAAACTTCATATCATCTGATATATTATTCTAACAAAAGATCTAGCAATTAAAGCATATATTTTTTATATTTCAATAATTAAGCATAAAAAAGACTTTACCAATGCTGTCATCACATGGCTATCGCCTCCACCAAGTGAATCAAGATACTGAATTTTCGTCTCCACTTCTAATTGATTGATAGTTATATTCCCCTCTTCCACCTGTAACTGAACTTTCACATAAAATCGCCACTAATATGAAGTCCAAAAGATTAAAAAAAATCAATTTTTTTAAAAAAAATAGTACAACGATATTATAACACACTGAGCGTATTACTAAAACAAAATCAAAAGCCAACAGCTACTTGACATAGACTTTCCAGATAATGCAGAAAGCAACTCCAAAAAACTTAGAAGAATCACACAACATGAGTAAGTAGGACTATTCCATTAAGGAAACAATGATGACATCAAGGAGAAGCAGGCATTAAAAAAAATGGAGAGCTGGATACCAATTTGCATCTCATCACTTAATAAAATAAAATTGTCCAAATCCGAAGGGGCTTCTACCACCAACTTCAACAGTAATTTAGTGAAACGAATTTTTCCTAAAACAAAACAAGTTTGTAAGCACACATAACCCACCTTCTTGTAAAAGAATGTATTAAAGAAATGACACTTCAAGAACTTCTGAGGTTCTCTCTTCTCCCTTTCTTTTAGAAGCTCAAAATATAAGTTTGTAACCTCCATAATAGAAACCGAAAAAGAGTAAAGCAACGTTAAGGTGAAAGGAACCTCTTCAGGTGCTAAAAGGAACCTCATCATTTAGCCATGCTCCTGGTCTCAAGCACTGCAATACCTCCCCAGCAATCGTAATATTGGCACTTTTATGAGTTGCCAAATGTTTTTGCCTATGCATTGCCAACCAATAATACATGCATAAAAAATATTTTCAGATTGATGGGCCCAATAACAAATTATGGAGCTTTCATAAGTTACAAAATGTTTTATCTATGTTACCTACCCTATAAAACATGAATGAGATAACAATATAGCCCAATTTGCTAATCTTAGAGTTCATGGAGTTAACAAAATTTTCAGTCTATTCATTCATCTCATAACCAATAAAACATTAATAACCAATCGTAGACCCACTTATGCCACAACAGAATTTTTACTACTACATTTAATTAACTAATATAGAATTTTTACTACTTATGAACGGCGAATGGACGAGTCTTGTAGGCGAAGCCAGGGATGTGCCTCTTAAAATCGGCAACTGGTCAGGTACGGCTAATTTCTCCATTGCACCTATGGATGATTATGGTCTTGTGTTTGGCATGGAGTTTTTAGACCAGGTAAAGCCGATCATCGTGCCTAGCAACGACACGATGGTGATCCTCCAAGGCGAGAAGCCTTGTGTGGTAAAGTTTAGACAGGAAAATGAGATTAGCCTTTCCCAGCTGAACAAGGGGCTAAAACGGGGTGAACACACCTTTGCCGCCATGGTGTTTGAGGAGGAACCATGCACAGAGGAGCCGGCAAAGGAGGAACGAATCCCGCCTCCCATAGAGCGAGTCCTTGTTCAGTTCAAGGACGTGATGCCCGACGATTTGCCCAAAGGTCTTCCACCAAGGAGGGAGGTTGATCATGCCATCGAGTTGGTGGATGGGGCGAAACCGATAGCCAAGGTGCCTTATCGTATGTCCCCTAGCGAGCTAGAGGAGCTCAAGGTGCAAATCAAGGAGCTACTTGAATCGGGTCATGCAAGGCCGTCTAAAAGTCCATGGGGTTCGCCGGCCTTGTTCCAACGCAAGAAAGATGGGACGCTACGTTTGTGCATCGACTATCAAGCATTAAACAAGGTAACCCTGAAGAACAAGTACCCTATCCCACTTATAGCGGACTTGTTCGACCGGTTGCAACGGGCAAGGATCTTTTCCAAGCTGGACTTGCGGAAGGGATACAACCAAGTACGCATAGTACCCGGTGATGAACCAAAAACGGCCATGGTGACGAGCGAGTCCTTGTTGAGTTCAAGGACGTGATGCCCGACGATTTGCCCAAAGGTCTTCCACCAAGGAGGGAGGTTGATCATGCCATCGAGTTGGTGGATGGGGCGAAACCGATAGCCAAGGTGCCTTATCGTATGTCCCCTAGCGAGCTAGAGGAGCTCAAGGTGCAAATCAAGGAGCTACTTGAATCGGGTCATGCAAGGCCGTCTAAAAGTCCATGGGGTTCGCCGGCCTTGTTCCAACGCAAGAAAGATGGGACGCTACGTTTGTGCATCGACTATCAAGCATTAAACAAGCTAACCGTGAAGAACAAGTACCCTATCCCACTTATAGCGGACTTGTTCGACCGGTTGCAACGGGCAAGGATCTTTTCCAAGCTGGACTTGCGGAAGGGATACTACCAAGTACGCATAGTACCCGGTGATGAACCAAAAACGGCCATGGTGACGAGGTATGGCTCTTATGAGTTTCTTGTTATGCCGTTCAGTTTAACTAACGCCCCAGCCACATTTTGCACTCTGATGCAACATGTGCTAGCGGATTTCATTGATAAGTTCGTTGTAGTATACTTGGACGACATCATTATCTATAGTAACACAATGAAGGAGCATGTGGAGCATCTTAGAGCCGTTTTTCAAGTCCTTAGGGAAAACCAGCTCTATGTTAAAAGGGAGAAGTGTTCCTTCGGCCTTGAGGAGGTGTCGTTCTTGGGACACATCATTGGTGGGGACAAAATTCGCATGGATCCGGCCAAAATCAAAGCTATCGTGGAGAGGGAGGCACCCACGAAGCCAACGGAGCTGAGATCGTTGTTGGGGCTTGTTAATTACTATCGGCGGTTTATTGAAGGGCACTCCACCATAGCCGCTCCATTAACGGATCTCTTGAAGAAGGGGCAAGCTTGGTGTTGGACACCAAAACACCAAACAACGTTCGAGGCTTTAAAGGACGCCGTCACTCAAGAGCCAGTCCTAGCTCTCCCTGATTTTAAGAAACCGTTCGAGGTGTGCACGGATGCTTCGGACTTCGCCATTGGGGGTATTCTCATGCAAGATGGCCACCCGATCGCCTTTGAAAGTCGCAAGTTGAACGAGACCGAGAAAAGGTGGCCGATGCACGAGAAGGAGATGTTGGCTAGAGTTCACTGCCTTAGAGTTTGGGAGCACTACCTAAAGGCCGCCACACCGTTCAAGATCAAGACGGACAATCGGGCAGTGAGTTACCATCAAAGCCAACCTAAGCTTTCAAGCAAGCAAGCACGTTGGTTGGACTTCTTAGCCGAGTTTAAATATGAGCTTGAGTATAGCCCGGGGAAGACTAACCACGTGGCCGACGCCCTAAGCCGAAAGGCGTGTCTTGCTCCAATCGTTAGTATACCCGAGGGGACGCTGGTTGATTGCATCAAGAAGGGTCTTGAGCACGACCGTCAAGCCCAAAGGTTCATGGAGCTCGTGAAGGAAGGCAAGACAACACGGTTCTGGCTTGAGGATGGGATACTTTATGCCAAGGGGAACCGTTTGTACGTACCTGCATGGGATGGACTTAGAAGGGAGATTCTAAGGGATTGCCATGATAGCCGTTATGTGGGTCACCCAGGTACGCATCGCACACTTGCCTTAGTCCATGAACGGTTCTATTGGCCTCGCATGCGGGAAGATGTGGAGACGTATGTAAGGAGTTGTCTAGTTTGCCAACAAGACAAGACCGAGCAAGACCACCCGCATGGCTTGTTATCACCCTTGCCTATTCCGGAACGCCTGTGGGACAGTGTTTCGATGGATTTCATCGTGAGCCTGCCCGTTTCCGAGGGTTGCACCAACATACTTGTTGTGGTAGACCGTTTGTCTAAGTATGCGGTCTTCATTCCCGCCCCAAAAGAGTGCACCGCGGAGATAACGGCCAAACTCTTTCTTAGGCAAGTGGTGAAGTATTGGGGGCTGCCTACATCGATCATAAGCGACAGGGACTTGAGGTTCACCGGCCGTTTTGGCAAGAACTCTTTCGTTTGCTCGGGACGGAGCTCAAGATGTCTACATCTTTGCACCCGCAAACAGATGGGCAGACGGAGCGCATCAACGGCCTCTTGGAGGTGTACCTCAGGCACTATGTGGCAGCCAACCAGAAAGATTGGGTACGTTTGCTACACATTGCCCAATTTTCCTATAACTTGATGCGGAGTGAGAGCACGGGCAAAAGTCCGTTTGAGATTGTCCTTGGTTTCCAACCGACTACGCCTAAAGACATTCTTGGGGGCTATAAGGGAAATAGCCCATCCGCATACAAGTTTGCCAAAGATTGGCAAGAACGGGCCGACGAGGCAAAACTCTACTTGGAGAAGTCGGCCGCGCGCATGAAGAAATGGGCGGATAAGAAACGGACCCGTCGCGAGTTTGAAGAAGGCGACCAAGTCTTGGTAAAGCTTTATGAGCATGGTCGGAGCCGTGGTTTACACAAGGGTCTCATGCGCAGATACGAGGGTCCTTTCACCGTTCTCAAGAAAGTGGGTTCGGTTGCTTACAAGCTGGAGCTACCCGAGGCCTTTTCAAGGCTTCATCCAGTCTTTCATGTGAGCCTACTTAAGCCATACCACAAGGACCTAGAGGACGAAGAACGGAACATTTCCTCAAGGGCACCAGCTGGCGTACGCGAGCATGAGGAACGGACCGCAGAGGAGATCCTTTCTAAGAGGATCGTTCGGAGCACGAGCGGGGCAGCAACTAAAGAATACTTGGTGAAATGGAAGAATTTGCCAATGAGTGAGACGAGTTGGGAGCCAATCGAGAAGCTTTGGCAATTCACCAAATTGATCGAGGACTTTGAGGAGAATCGTGCACCCCTTCCTATCAATATTGCCTTCGAGACTTAGGTGCATCGGGGCGATGCACCATTTTGGTGGGGGAGGATGTCACGGACAGTTTTTCTTCACCACGAATTCGGGTGGTTTGATGCGAAACGGGCTATTTTCGTAGACGGACATGGACGGAACGGTCTAGAGCCTTGTGGAATTCTCCGGACAAATCTTGAA